GACCAGTGAAGTAACAGCAATATGGAGTTTGGTGGTCATCGTATTTTCACACCATGACCGTGGACCAGTGGAAGTTGATTCCAGTCTGTGTGATGCACATGATATGCTAAAGCGCAAAAGCACTCTCACACAAAATAGAACTGCCAGATTTTCGCATGAGACAGGTTCAGTTTGGCCATAAATTCACGGACATCAACAATTCGGATAGAATACCTACAGTGACAATGTGAAGGCGCCAGGTAAACTAGCGGTAGGGCCCACTGACGCGTGATTTCGCACGAAAAGAAACCACAGCACAAGAATCACAAATGGAGGAAAGAACCGAATACGGGTTTCATGAAATCGTGGTTGTGTGTACAAGTGTAGGGTCGAGGCGAGGGACAACGGTCCCAAATGGGTGAGGGTCGGATGCCAGAGTGGTGTATGAGCAAAAAGAGTACGCCACAACGTGTAGAAGTGATACGAGTTAGAGAGCAGATCACTGTCAGCCACATTGCTTGAACCGAGCCCACTGGGAAACAGACGTGTATTAGTCGTGATGGGCACTCCACCACAGACGTGGTCACGTCCCCTCGGGCTTTCCTTGTGTGGAGTCATAGGCACGAATCAGGTCGGATTGTCTGACAACGGCGTGTTCTTCTTGAGAAAATGCGTAGCCGTCTGGTATAGGGAACAGAAAGGAGACGACTGATGAAATGAAACAAAAGCCATCGGTTGCGTGGGGTGAAAATTGCAAAAAGTTGGGGTCAGTCAGTGTTAAGTAGTTCAAACTAGAGCCAAGCTACGCTATATTTGTGCACCACTTGAAATGTATGAACGCGTAGACAAGCAGGTGCAGCGGCATCCGTAAAAGTTAAAACTGCGTTGAGTGCTGTAAACCATGTAAAATTGCAAGTCAACCTAGGGGGTTACGGGATTAGGTGCCGTGTGTGTATGTGAACGACGCCATACGTGCGAGCAGCGGCGTGCTGTGCCGTTTTGGTGTGGAGGTGGAGGTATGCCTTATTGAAGCAACATAAGGAAAATGGTCACTGGATGGAAAGACAATGGGGCATACGTACCGCAGTGGGACGAGGGGGGCCCTATAAGATGTTTGCAACAGAAAGTATAGGTTGGGGTAAAGTGAATTTGAAAAGACAGGGATGTGCTACGCTAAGGTCCAATACTCGTGAGTTTATCCAATTAAAGTTTGTTGACTAGGTTTCCGATGATCATGATGGTAGCAATCGCAAAAGACAGGAATCATCTGCTAGAACAAATTAGCCAGAATAAAAGTTCAGTATTCGCAATGTATGACGCTAGCCGCCTAAGTGCGATCCAACAGTTATGGTGACTGACGAAAATTATAGTTAAATGAAAAGAAAGGTCGGGCAATTATGAGGAATAAGGGAGATGTGCTGAAACAGTGGTGGCTAGTAGAGGGAATGTACATAAAATTATGATCAGTGAAGTGGCCACAAGCTAAGACGAAAACACAAAAACCAACAGCAAAGCTAAAGTTCATGGCTGATCATTTAATATTCCTTCGTCATGTAATCATTAGGCGACCGAGTCACCACAAGAAAACACAGTGCGGTGGTCGGTTACCAACATGCGAGGAATGTGATAGAACCACAAAGAAGGCATACATATGTAAATTTTAATTCATTGGTGTATTATGGGGCGTCTGTTGTGCGATGCAACAAGTCACTGGATACTTTAAACATCTGCGCCGTTGCCATAGCAGGAAAGCACACACCCTGACCACAATCGATAGGCCAAGACCAGATGAGCCTAGTCATCCCGTTTGTCAAAGAAAACACCAAGCGTTTAACTAGGCGAGTAGGCAATTTAATAAGTCGATTCGGCCGAAAAAAATGGATCCGTGTGACGATGTCTCCGGCATCACCCTAAGTGTCAGTGGAAGTGTGTGGTGATTCGTACAGGGGTCGGGCTGCGTGGTAAGCTTGTTGTCAGTCTTCTAGTCATTTCAGATGAAACAGGAATAAAACCGATTATGAAGAATTCAATCAAGAAACCAGGACAAAAGTGCAGTTCTAAAGCATTACAACGGTAGTATTGGACACCGAAGGAAATCAACGCGGTCGCAGGAAATGCATATTTCGAAGGGAGTACAGATTTGTCGGGATCAAGAAATGCCGCGGACAAATGCAATCAACAGATGTGAATGCCGTATTTAATACGTCCTGATTGACAGACTCAGCGTGGGTGACTGAGAATTGGGAACACAATCAATATGGTTTCCATTAAGACGGAAGCTAAATCGGTTATCAGCGAGACAAGTCCTTCAGGGATTAAAGGGGCAGTTTGGGACCAACCGCATGGACTGTGGGGGGTGTGTGTGTCGAAAACAATGACAAAAACGTTGCAATTACCGTAAACATTTTTGCAGAAAATAAGGGATTCACATATGATCAGGCAAAAGCAAGGTCACAATAGTGTTATCCGGGTAGTCAGGGAAGTGAGGTAATCGTCAAATGCTAAAGGGTTGACGCGAATACCGAGTGGAGGCTAGCAACATACAGCATCACCCGGTAAACTCGCATATCTAGTTGCATCTACCTCGATAAGTGACAAAAGTTGCTTTTACAAGAGAACGTGCTAGCACTCGAACAAAGACCAGGCAACCACACAATTGCGCCACGGTGAGTTGGAAGATTCCGCGAAATCGATAAACGTATACTTAAAGCATAGTTAATAACTGAGCACTGTAAGGGTACTCACGATCGGCATGTGCCAAGGCTTTTGGAGATGACAAAGTGCGTGAGCGGCCGACACTGGCTCCAGGGCAAAGATTTAGCAATGCTTCTGAACCTCGAGTGCGTCGAAGAATCCGCATGAAGGCGGCCTTGTCTATGGTCCTAGAACGGAGAGATGGGGAAAACCAATTTCTTAGAAACAGATATACACACAAATATACACATAAACTGTCACAATTAACAAGGGTTTAACGAAACGTTATGTGAAAGAAAACCGATTGTTGTAGTGCAAATGGTGTAAAGCAATTTAGGGAGCCGACTACTGCCAACCGAGCAAGTCAGACGTGTGTAACGTAAAGTAGCGTTTTTCAGATGGAATGATATCCAGTAGGGAGAAGCGAGGATAAGACTATCGAGTTTGGATTTGAAACGGAACCATGATATAGCTAAAAGTGTAAAGGAACCAATAAATGGGCTCATTACACGACCGGCGCCAGAATTGCTTATCAATACAGAGAAAGTGATCACATGAATGAATATGCACGAGAACATGGTGTGCAACAGCAACGGTGAGACAAACCAACACTCACTTGCATTTGAGACTCGCTTTGATCATTACGCCCGGATCGACCTCCAGCTGTTCCAACTGCATCACCTGCTCTCGAAGTGTTCCTGCGAAGCTACGTTTTCCCCTATAAGTGGAACGCACACACATAGGTACGCACGAATCAGTCAGGTGTTGCACTATAGCAACGACAGTTCATATTCAAAGAAGCTTGTTGAAAATGAAGTAGTCCATTAAGAACCGTTTGAAGACAAACGATGCACGGCATTCGATAGTTTATCTGCGAGCTAATGTCCCGAGATGCATTAGATGACGACAACAACAACGGAGCTGCGCTCAGCGCGGGCGCATTTCTTGATAAATGTGAACGGCGTGATCGGTGAGAATAGCATGCATTAAAAACAGCTGATGACATCTTCGTGGTGATGCAGTTTTGTGCGACTGATGTTGGATAGCGTAAATGTGGATACCGCATGTGTAAAAAATAGAAGAGCATGGTTAGGTGGAAAAAGCAAGTGGATCTTGTTTGGTGGAAGAGGGTAGAGTCAGCAGGGGTTGAAAAATAGCAAATGTAGTTAAAATTCGAGGGGATTGGCAGAAATAGGTGATGCAAAAATAAGGACAGTATGCACCGTCTAGGGGCTACAAAGTACACATGCCACCTATCGTCGTTATGCAATCGAATTGCATTGAATTGGTTCTGGTGGAGATATATCTCGGATCGAAGGAATCTTCCTCTTCAAAGTATAATCTGTTCCGTTAGATGGGTCCATTGGGAAAATTTGCTGACACTTCACACACCGAAAACAAGTGAGAGATGCTCCCAATAGCTGAAGTTATGCAACCAAATGAGTAACGAACATCGTCGATTAGGGTTCATGTAAAACAAAAGCAGGTAAAGGATTTTAACAAGCAGGATCGACCTGACTGAGTATTAAACGAGCTCAAAGTACGCTAAGATGATTACGGTCGGCCCAAACATGCGGATTAGAATGGCTATCCCATAGCAAAACGCGTTTGTCCTAGAGTTAACGCACGGCCTTCCGAGGAAATAAGGGAAAAGTCCGTGAAGTTGAACAGACGCGATACTCAACTAAAACAGATCTTACCGTCTTTGAGTTTGTGTAAATGCAAAATGCGTGATTCGGCTGTGGGATGTTGGCCGCTTAGGCTTGGAAGCATTATCTTATATCTAGGTAGGTATAGACTAAGCAAATTGTTCGGCAACCGAGTGCACAGAATTGGAACGAGTATGTGAGCAATATAAGTAAATGAAGCAAAGGCATGACTGAATCTCAATGACCATACCATGACAGCCTAATCAGTTCAGATGAAAAAATAAAGAGACCAAATGCAGCAGCACCATTGATTCTGCGACTGTGCTAACCCGGCTAAAGGCACCACCCGCTAAAGTTGTCGACCCCGAGCCCCTATGGGTGAGAAGTTCGTTTTCATTGGATTCGACTGCATTTTCGCCAAGCTCCCTCATATACTCGTACCATGCGGTTGAGTGACTGTTTCGAGCTTCACCCCATTGACCAACTGGAACGGTAAACAATTCACGACTGGGTACGCGGACAGCAGGAACACCAAGGACATGACCAGAGGTGGTTACTCTTAAGCGGCCCTAGATGATGAGCTACCAAACACCAATTAGTGGAGACTTCCGTATAGCACACCCGGTGGTATCACAGGTGGCGAGCAACGGTGCGCACGTATTGGTGGCGAAAGATGACAGAAATTGTCTGAAATAATCTAGTGACAAGTGATATAGCTAGCTGGGTACGTGAATCAAATAACTATTGGTTGACAGTGAGAAGTAACGGTAACTAGCACCGTGTAGATACGAAAAACATGGTGAAGCGTACAGCGCATTCCGTTGTTCTATCCATGAAGGTCCGTACTGGTACCGGATTAAACAAAAGGTGTGATATATCGTCCAGGTGCCGTAAGTTCGTCAGCCGATCGTCTGATAAGACGTCCACTTCAGAGAATGTCGACAAGAGAGATTTACTTATGATCAAACAAAAAAAACAAACAAAAACAAAGGAAAGACAGCAAGAGGGCAGCGCTGATGCGCCCAGCCAGGTAGGAGGAACTCAGGAAGTAGATGTCGAACAGTTAAATAGACACGGAAGTCAAATTAGGTCGTTGTCGAGGTGAGAAACGTTTATCTGGAATGCCATCCATCTCCATGGGATACCTGGCGCCACTGCGTTGGGACCGGGTACCACGCTAAATAAGTTTTCTAAGGTATTGCAAGCGAAAAAAAGAGGAGTTCAACGGCCGCATGAAAACACCGAACATTTTGATTGATCTTGAAAATAATCAATTCTCTCGGTTTCCTGTAAACTGTGGACTGCGGTTTGGGAACTGAAAAACAGCCAGCTCTCTAAGGTCAGTTGGGGAAGTAGCAAAGTTGTCACAAAAAAGGGCGCCAGATAGTCCGGTAACGCATGGCCAATCACATTGTGCGAGAATGTGGAAGCTGCGATAATTTAACTTGCACAGCAAATGACACTGCACATACACTTACGAACTGTGATGGCATTCGGAAATCAGAAGTACAACCAACCGAAGAGAGGTTGTGGCATATTTGTTCGTCCAGATCGTTAACGAAAGAATTACGTGTTACATGGCGAAGGCAACAATCGTCAGAAGAATAAACCTACTCTTAGTGTACAAATAGTGGTAGATGGGATGCAGTCACCCAACGGAGTATGTAATTAAGCAACTGCACTCTAATGCGACACAATTGCTGCAATCGATCTCCTCCAAATATCAGCAAGGTGATTTTCTCTGCAGCTTTGACCTGTTCATGAAGTGGAGACGAAATAAGCGAAAAACCATCGACACACATCGGTTGGTGCCACGCAAACGAACTCTGAACGGCGAAAATGCACTAAGGTCACATCCATATCCAATTAGGCCAGTACCCAAGAGAGGAGTCGATACATGCGCACATCTAATCCGTATCAACTTGGTTGGGTGTCTGCTTTAAGATAGCGTGTGGTAGACGGACAAGCAATTGGTGTGCACAAGCATGCGGTACAGGTCGAAAGAATGGTGCACGATGTCGGTGTGATGTCCAACCGGAAATGAGTTGAGGAGGAATGAGAAGAGTAGATGTCACAGAGCGCAATAAGATTCATGAATTCGACTCATCGCGCAAACAATAGCAACGGTGGAGTAGTAGAATGGAGCTTCATCAGAGCAAAGTATGCACACGCTTGACATGTCGAAACGTGTATTGGAGACCGATGGGTGGTGAAACTGTCAAGCAGTCTAACACATGTGAACGGCTAAAGGCTGCGTAGATAAGGACGCAAACGGAATTGAAGAGAACCATCAAAGTACAACGGCATCACTTTGTGTCACCAACATCTCAGTTACGCAGTTGGGGGACCAGTAAAAGAAATAGGTACGGCCCAAGACTTTGCGGGGGCGATCACGTAAGGCGCAAAGAAGGAAAAAAGCGCTTTACGGGTTCTTAAGCGTCTTTCCGTACTCTGAATAGGAGTCGCTCGGGTCATAACAATGTGAGTGGCGTAGTACCGATGCGTTAAAGGAGCAACTTTGATTAATCGATGACGCAGCGCTCGGTAGGCTGTGAAAGTCGGCCGGTGTATCCAACGGTTGGATGACACGGGTTTCTATTAGTCCTTACTATGGACACACATTGGCCTGCATGATGAGATTGATATAGGCTGCAAATCACAAGCTGTCGTGATCCGGGACGCCAACAGAGAACATCAGGGGACGAGGGTACCGCGCGAGGATGAGTTGGTGTGCAGAAGTGCATGGCGCCGACTGGGAAATGCCGCCAGCATACGGTATGTAGACTAAATTTCTGAAAGCGGAAATGCGGACGACACGGGAATTTGGTGAAGCGTACGAAAAAAAGTAGACTCACATTTTCCAAGCGACGTCGCGGGTCAGACACAGGGACGGTATCAGAACCAGACCAAACCAAAAGACCCAACTGCCAAACACAGCGGCGTCCTAGTAATTTAGAAAGAACATAGCACGAAGAACTGGTGAGTCAGAAGGAAAGCAGTGAGCACAGTGGCTAGCAATATTGAGTAACGTGTGAATATACAGAGAGCAACGCAGAGCCCGTATGGAAAGAATAACGTAGCCGACGAGAACCGATGATAATCCACAAATAGCCAACGACAAGATGTGCTCAGACAGATGAGCATACGCAAAGAAGTAAAAACGTTGAATTTGTTGTAGTTCAGTGCTGCTCTGAAAATCGTATTTGAAACGCGTGCGTAGATTAAATGATTGAAAGTTGGACCGATCACAACTCCGCGAATCCAAACCACTGAATGGACGATGAAGATCATCGTCGAAGACCGGGTAACTCCGCAGATGAGACGAAAGGTGAGACCAGGTGACTTGACGGCGAACCAGAGGTAGAGACAAAGTGGAAGCGTGTATTGGCTTAGCCAAAGGTGAACACAGGGTTGCAGGCACAAGTGTATGTCAAAAACAATCCATCTCCCAGGATATTAATTTGGTTAGACGAGGATTTATACTGAACGTCATTTCACCGTGTTGCGGAAGCCACATCGACCTATATTTGAGTGAAAATGGAAGTCGCCGTGATACGCGATGCATCAGCGTCACGTGGGCGCAGATACTAAGTAGCGCATAACTTTCCTGTAACATGAAGAACGTAAGTGAACCTCTAATTACCATGAGGTGAAAAATGTCCAAGTTCAAGAGAGGGCCATACTGATTTTCGGCTTAAAATGAAATGTATGCATCGGATCATGGGGAAAAACAAGCGGGGTTTATGAAAATCCAGCTACAGGCACATGGTAATATGGCATCAATGAGCAGGGTGCACAAAATGATGACCGAAATTCACACATTGGGAAATGAACCAAACAATATCGCCTGTATATGTTGCGCTAGCCACTGGATAATAATGGCCTGGAAAGTGGGGAGGGAAGCAATATAAAAATAAATAAAAGTAAAACGGCACATTCCCCGACAGTGCGAGGCATATACTGTTATATTTTTATTTACTAAGGATGCTTATTTCGTAAAAAAGGATTATTACAGTTGCTACAGTCGTAAGAGGTCCTGACGCCCGCGCAACACGGCTGCTCATGCATTACAAACTTGCTTGTGACGAGGCATGAGTGGTTGAAGGCAATAAGCAAAGAAAAGTCTGTCGAGGTGGTATTCATCGACTTCAGTAAAGCGTTCGACAGGGTCAGCCATGAGGTTCTCCTTAACAAACGCAGGATGTGCGGTGTCGGTGGCTCAATGCACCGTTGGATCCGCGACTTTCTTGTTGGACGAAAGTGGAGGGTACAGGTCGAGGACCATCTAACTGACTGGTACCCCTCTACAAGTGGCGTGCCTCAAGGCACTGTGCTGGGGCCCACTCTGTTCCTGATCCACGTCAACGATCTACCTCAGCTTCTCCGGTCGCCGTGTGTCTTTGTTTGCGGACGACATGAAGATTTGGAGAGATATTGACGCTCCCGACGACTGTGGCGTACTTCAGCAAGACTTCAACCGCCTTTCCACATGGTCTGCAGAAGTTCATCTCCCGGTCAACCCAACCAAGTCTGTGGAAGGGTGCTGACGGCCGAACCTACATACTTGACGGCCAACCGCTATATCCCACACCCTCCGTGTAGGACCTAGGTGTACTTTTGCGCTACGATATGAAGTCCGTGGACAAGACGAGCGGGCTTTATCGTAACGGACTGCGCATGCTTTGGGCGCTCAAACGTAGCTTCGGTATATGATTTGAAGAGATTGCCATTCGCCTGTTCACTTCCATCAGTAACCCAATGCTAGCGTACGGTTAACCCGCCTACTTTTCGATTACCCGAGACGAGGCACAGAAGATCGAACGGGTCCAACACGCTGCTACCAGGCTCATCCCGAGTTTACGTGGCGTCGGGTATGAAGACCGGTGCGGGAAACTAGGACTTTACACCTTGTCCTACCGTCGGGTGCGAGTCGACCTCATTATTACCTATCATATTCTACATCTCGGTGACTTGTCCATGCTGCACTTACGACAGCCATGCAGCACACGCACAGATACAAAGTTGTCGTGCCGGATATGAAGCGTTCTCCATCTACTGTGCTTCGAACGTAGAGTGGTAAATATTCGGAACAGTTTGCATGAACATGTGATGGAGGCAACATCTGTGCAGCAGTTCAAAACGCTGTTAGATTTACATTTCACCACTATTCGATTCAGAGGATGATTACACTCTTACGATGACATCTCACATTTGTGAGTAATGCAATACCGTGCGGCAGATATTTTAAATGTTACATGAGAACGATATTCACGACTGAGAATTTTATAAGGTTTTTCACCATATTTCGAAAGAGTTGTATATAATTCACTTCTACTTGCCCTAGAAAACAGTATTTATGGGATAGAAAGTGTTGAGAATGTGTTCGAAACCTCACAGATAGCAGAACAGTAGCATAAATGCAGACTCTCTATCACCCTCTTCGTTGGCATACTGTATCGGGTCAGACTGATACCAAGGGAGCTGTGTTATATTCCTGCTATCGATATCATTCAGAAGAAATCTCCGGCCGCACCAAGGCAAATGAGCTAAATGCGAAGCAAACCCACAGGGACAAGGTAGGGCCAACTAGAGCGGAAACTCTACTATCAGACAGACAGATAGGTGTGGAGTGGGTGTATGAGATTAGCCAATAAGGTGTGGCACGGTTCCCATGGAAACCTCGCTAGCTTAGATAGGATAACGTAGCGTACTTCGGCAAGTGACACCCGCACTTTCAAAGTGTGAAATCCGTCGAAGAGCGGGTTATGTCCCCAGACATTATGCTTGGTGAAAAACCTGAGTTAGCTGACTAATCAACAGCTATATAAATGGGTCACCTCTAGAAGTGATAGGCTAGTGTGATTTTTCAAAATCCCAACCAATGGTGAGGATAGTAGTGGCGTGCGAAGCAGAAAACAGAGGTCAAATGATCAACCGTTTGATGAACATGCCCCATGTAGGATGAACAGGTTGGGTTTCTTCACAGCTGTCAGGGAGATTGAAATTTTCATAAAAGATGGTAGAAAAATGAATGGGATCAACACTGCTCAATGAAAGACTCCAGTTCGCTTTAAATAAACAGCCAAAACAACTTGTGACCTTGCCAAGTTGCAGATTGACTGAGCTAGTTGTGCGTTGTTAACTAGCTGCTTAACAAATCGAAGGTTTTAGCCTGACCTGTAAATGCAACTTCTGTCTCAATCCATCTATACGGGTGTTTTTGCAATTGACACCATCGTGAATATGCGTTTTTGTAGAGCTCATAGATTGGTGATTTTTAATGAGCTCAGAAGTCTATGGGGGTAGGAAATTGTTTTCAACCGGAATGGAATAGAAAATTACAGACCTAACAAGAAAACATCCAGTTTGCTGTGTTGTTGATCGAGATTACGGGTCAATGAGCAAATCGCAGTGGCAGGGTGCATATGGTAAGAAAGTATAGAGAAGTAGATCAAATGATTGATTTGTGACAATGCACGCGGTCGCCGTGGAGGTGGACACGAGATCGATCATATTCATGGATTGAGAAGCGATCCATAAAGTGCTATAGGAGACAAAAAGAATAAGTGCAGATGAATAGCAAGCCGGATGAAAGGGAACATAACCTTGCCAACGTAAGCGGGCAGGCGCTACAAGCACTCCGGCAGACTGCAACAAGGTGCGCTACCTAAAGATTTAAGAATTAGCTGTGGTGCTAAAGAGCAAACAAGCCATCTGCTTCCACCAATGATACTGACTGCAGTTCACAAAGTGCAAGTAAATGGCGCATTTAGTAAACCTCCAGATTGTAAATACCCAACACAAGATCCACTAGTGGATAGGCATTGGTAGCATGTATCTGTCTTAGTTACAATTCATTCTTGAATCAAAACTATAGCAAAAGTCGGTCATTCATGGATGAACGGCGAAAATCAAAGTGCGTTTGGTCCACACAACGCCTAGATGCACACGGATCGTACAATTCAATAAACATCTGTGAACTGATGAAATTACTAGTTAGTTAAACAAAGGACGAGGAACTTAACATAAGCACACAGACGATAAACCAACAGTGGAAAAGAGTGACTACGTCTGCCGCGCCTCACGACCAAATCCAGCGGGATCCTCTTTCTCGGCTGTCTGGCTCGTTCTTGTTCATCCTAAAGGGGCGCTCCCAACACATTGCCAGTACGCGGGTCTCGAAATGGAACATGAGGGTACTCCTCCCACAGAAGCAAAAGTTTGACACTGCCTAGCGTAGAGCACACTACTGACACGCTGAGAGTGGGGATCAGGCCACGAGGATGCGATCTGCGTAACTAACAGTAGGGAGCATTTCTCACCACCAGTGAATATGCACATGGGTAACTTAATACAAGCTGGTGCGATGCACTTGCGTTGCAAACGAGTAATTGGTCGGATGGAAAATAAGTTAGTCGAGCAATTTAGGAATAACCCGTACATTTTCTAACGAATTAGGGAGTACCGCGTCGGTTCCCAGGTCTCGTGGAACACAGTTTGTTGATGAACATAGAAGTAACTTTCAAGTCCAATTTTCTACAGTCTCGAATGGAAACTGCGACAGCACAGAGGATTAAGTGGACAGAAAGATTTGGCTGACCAGAGGACAACACAAAATCAATAAAACACCTGGAGGCACATATGAAGGTTGAACTAAAATCAGCGCATTGAAAGTAAAGTACAGGAAAATGTACAACACTCCATGGAATGCCATCACACAAGAATTATAGAGAGCCCAAGTTACGGGAGCACAGTGCACTTGCTTGGTAGATCTGACAAAACACTTGCGAACTCACCATTCCGACCATATCGGCGGCGATTGGGAGCACGGGGTAAAAGTGAGAGTAGATGAGCAGAAAGAAGAACCAGCAGACAACACTGCCCCAGATTGCAAGATGAGAAATCCAAGTCCATGCTGTGTGCTCCAGCCCGGCTTTGAGACACACGGTCACGACCACATACTGAAACAGGATGGGGGAAATCACGGTGATTTAGTGCGGAGCAGGTGTTGATAAGCTTAAAGTGGCAAGGCACAAAAAACAGCATTGTCTCCAAAAAGTTGGTGAAATACACCAATAGTGTGGAAGAAAACGCAGTAACTGGACGGATGGGATACGGTACGACAAAAAGCGAGATAAAATGAGCAAGCATTCAAAGTAAACGATAGTGTAGTATGTGGTCAGAGTTCCGCGGCCACACCGAACGAACACATACGCATGACCTGATAGGGTGGGAGTAAATTAGACATGCGGGTATGAATGTGATTGGTCGCGAGAGCAGACGACCGAAGTATGGTGCACGTCTTAGTCGGCCAGCAGGCTCGAGTTCGAACACCGTGACCAATGCACAAATAACTGATAAGAAGAGACTAGCATATACGAACGTACGTCTAAACTATAAATACAAACCGCTTTTCACCTAAGAAAAATGCTTCCAGTAGGATTGTGACTTTTGGTCCTTCCGTTGGGATTAGGAGTGCCGGGAAGAAGCCACGTGTATGGCGTGAATCAACCACAAACAGATCTCAGTGTAGTGTGTTCGTCGACAAGCATCGTAGTGAACAACAGTGCATCAGGCTTGGAAGTGAACAGTCGAAATGACAATAAATGGTACACCAAAACACTTGGCGATAGCCACCGAAATCCTCCACTTCGGTGACGCTGTCAGTGGTATTATAGACAGGCTGACTTCAAAGTGAACCGAGGCCACAATTGAGTCGCAAGACACAGAAAATCAACTTCTAACCGCTGTATCAAGGTATTGCTCATGGAGCTCAATGGGCTAGTGATCATAGCGATAGCCGCCAAGGATTATGAGCCAAGTTCTACTCCCAGGACGAAACCGTCGGTCGTGGAGTACAGGGATGGGAGAGCCACACCGAAACCCTCCACTTGGCAACACCTTGAGACAAGAATGCCTTTGCTTGTGGTAACTCGTAGTTACGTACACTAACTTGATAGGTGGCGCGTGAAAGATAGTGCTCCAACAAGCTTTCATAGCGCAGTACAAGAAGGGATTATTTGGATAGTCCAGTAGAGATGGCCGCATATACTTTGCTGTTCAGTCGGATGGTTGGGAGTGTACAGTGATGTGGCCGTACACATGGATAAATCAGATGGTCTGGATAGATAAGTCACCGTTGTGGTTAAGGAATGCACTGGAGCCTAGAGCGGAGTTCTCGTTGAGTTGCACCCAGGATGGATAACGCCAGAAAGTGGATACAAGTTCACAATCGACTATATTGGAGACAGAAGTGATTCAGCCAGCCACTTATAGTGGCTTTTTCAAGGATGGAATTCTGGGCAGCCCCATCATGCGGCTGAGTTGACCGTAATAAAACGGTCATCGGAATTGCAACAGTAAACACACAATACAAAGATTTGACCTCTATTTGGGCAATGCGAAATGAATCAGAACGATACACAAAGTTCGGGAGCTGCAAGTTGGCAGCAAAGTGTTGAGTTGAAAGAAAATACCGCAAGTCATCAGTTAGGTAGAACAGAACCAAAGACTAAATCGAATTTCCAGATGGCTTCACCACGCTCAAAAGTTACGTGATCCCGTTTTCGGACTCTAATGCACCGCAGGCTGAACGAGGAGCAAGTGGACTATGACTGATGGGCGACGCAGTGCTACCAATACATAACGAGGAGACTCATGTAGATAAGTTAAACTGTATAGACCAATACCGCGTCCCGGCAAAAACTAGCTTCTCATGCAACAAAGTGGTAAGCGATACATCGCGAAAGGTGATGCAATACATCTGCTGTTGCTGAGACGGTTGGAAAACAAAACGAAGGGAAATTGATAACGAAGTCCTGTGGGTAGAAGATATTTCCTGGTCACGCATTCTGATAGACGCTGTGCGGAGTGGTTTCAAACCCTTTCAGCTGCCTCCACTGTGTGACCCAAGGACACTAGGATACGGAGTAGCCAAGGGGTCAGTGGGAAGCTAACAAAGTAACCTTCGGAGTCACAGGGCACAGAAGGTAGGTTGAACTCGGAGCCATAGTACATCGACTGCACAACAGCAACAAAGCACGCTCGTCGGGGCGATTAGACTAAGAATATACAAACACGAGTAAGATTTGATGGTGCGCATTTTGGTACCCGGAAGCTGCATGACTTCAGGCAAGCGATAATACTTCAGTGAGTAATTGGTATAGTCCCAGTTGTCGAAGACGACCGGCGGAGGCAACGCAATGTGTAGATTAAGCAAAATTTATAAACAGTAAACGGTCGCCATTGGTGGTTCTGTATCGGAGAAAAATTGTAAATATCGCTCCGACCCACGAGGCATTGGACTAAGAGAAAAGCTAATTTGATGCGATCTATAGCTTTCACTCAATCGTGTATGAGTTATTCATGGGCACATGGAAAGCGGTAGCCGGTGTAATTCGAGCACATAAGCAAGTTATCGACGGTGTAACCATTCAGCTGCAATGACAGAAAGGTAACACCTCATGCATGCACCGTAAAATCAAAAGGATGAATGTACAACTGGAACGAACAGAGCAAGTTTGCGGACACTATCGCGAAAAATGAGCCTTATTGTTAATGTGAGGCCCAGTAAAACCCAGAATCTGTCAACAAAGGACCAACAGGAAAGTAAAATATGCAATTGTGAATGGAAAAGAAAGTGGATGACATCGATCTCAGCGGAATGAAAGCTAGCGATCGACGGTCCAAAAGAATCATGAAGCTGCCCTGATCAACCATTCAGCACGATGTGATCACGGCTCCACGATAGTTAACAAGAAGGAGGAGACCACAACCATTGGCAGTAGAAAAGTACACGAGAAAAGATTCTCGCATCTGCAACAAGTAGGTGTTGTATTACTCCAATACCAGGGCAGCTGTGCCTAATAAAAAAGCATAAGCAGTACGCCGGTACGCGGTATCGACGCTTCGCTGCAGTGCAACCACCATCAGTCGCGCGTGGACTAAGGGTACTAAGGGGGTCACCCGCTCCCATACGAAGATTCTGATACTGATACTGTATTTAAGAGCAAGTAGAAAGGTTTCTGTACAACTCTATCGAATTACGAAAAATCAAAATTTACTTGTGAATTATCAGCAGTTGTGTCTTGTCCGTTAATCGTTTATCCGTGTTCGGTTAGAAATTTGTACTAGCGTCATTATTTCCGGACATACAATGTCTTCTTTTGGCACTGTTTGTGCATCGTTTCACAAAAGCACAGGTTTGCAAAATAATCGTCGATACGGGTTTTAAAACACTTCACAGAATCGACCTCTATTAATCCTTCAGGTAGTGTATTCCATAAGTTTACGATTCGTCGTTCGATACAAAGCTGATGTGATACTTTGTTCATGCTGGGGACCCTGAGTTTGTAACGATGTCCTCGGGTGTTACAGGGTTCTCGCAGGTGAAATATTGGCCGTAGTATGGGGAAGTGATTCAAGTGTAGTACTCGATGGGTCATAATAAGATCAATTCTTACTCGGCGATAGGATAGTGTGTAGAGTCCGAGCTTTTCACAACGTTTTTCATATGGAAGTTTTCGTAGACTTGGTATCATTCTAGTTGCGATATGCTGTATTTTCTCCAATTTTTCAGTTTCCCACTGGGTTATCGGATGGTAAGCTGGGGCACCGTATTCAAGGATTGGTCTAATGAGCGAGGTGAATAGACGAGGGACGGTTTCTTCGGACCATGTGGAGAAACTGCGCCGTAATGCCCAGAGCATACGAAGTCCCGCACGGTACAATTTCTCTGTATTTACTACTGATCTTAAATCATGTCGTGAGAGAACTCCTAAGTCTCTGACAGATGTGTTGGGATGGAGCAACTGGCCGTCCAAGGTGTATGATCGAGTGGCTGGACGTCTGGTGATACTGATGAACTCCGACTTGCTTGCGTTAAGAGGGAGTTGCATTTCAGTGGACCACGTTGACAGTCGCTCTAAGTCATGCTGGAGGCGAGCGCAGTCGTCCTGGTTTTCAATGATCCTCCAGATTTTCAAATCATCTGCAAACAGGACACATGGTGACTGGAGCTGCTGCGGAAGATCGTTGATATGAATAAGAAATAATGCTGGCCCAAGTACAGTTCCTTGAGGCACGCCACTGGTCGATGGGAACCATTCTGTCAGATAGTCATTGACCTGTACTCTAAACCTTCGTCCCACAATAAACTCTTGTATCCACAGAAGTAACGTGCCGCCGATTCCGTATGTCCTCAGTTTACGAAGGAGTACCTCGTGGTTCACTCTATCAAACGCCTTACTAAAGTCGATGTACACCACGTCAACATCCTTCTGTTCATTGAGAGCTCGAACCCACTGGTGGTTTGCGTACATCAAGTTGGTGATGCAGGATCGCCCTTTCGTAAAGCCGTGTTGCGCTGGCGTCAATATGTCCATCGATTCGAAGAACGACAGCAGACACTTTTTCACAACCTTCTCGAGAACCTTGGATAATACCGAAGTCAAACAGATCGGTCTATAGTTCTCTGTTTTACTCTGATCACCACCCTTGGGAAGCGGTTTAACTATCAAGCATTTCCAGTCGTTGGGGACAGATCCTTCAGAGAGCGATCTATTGAAAAGGTTTGTCACAACTGGTGAGATGATAATCGATAGGGACTTGAGTATTAGTGGGTGAAGTCCGTCTGGCCCGGGGGGCTTTGCACCATTGAGGTTGACGAGTAGCTGATGTACTTCGACTGCATCACATTGTAGGCTGTCGAGCAAGACTGGCGCAACCTGTGCTGGTACTGGAACAGCCGCCGGTTTACTGGAAAATACAGTGAGGAAGTGCGTAGCCAGGGCGTCCGCGCGCTCCGCGCTTGAAATGAGTGTCTTCCCGTCTAAGCTCTCTAAGACCGGTAGGTCGTCTCCAGGTTTCAGTTGACTTTTCAAGTAGGCAAATATTCGCTTGGGTGCAGTTGCGGCCGAGGATGCTAATTCCTCTTCGAACTGCCGGCGTTTCTTGATCTTTGCGGCGTTACATAAGTTACGCTGTTTCTTGTACACCGCGTAATCTTCATCACAACCCGAGCTGATGTATTTATCCCAAAGTTTACGACGTCGTCGCGCTAACTGTCTGTAATCCCTATCAAACCAATGCGGTTTGACAGGTCCGATTTTTGGATACTTAAGGGGAACGAACCGAGTACAGAGCGAGTTAAGCTGCCCCTTTATTAATGACCACCACGCCTCAAGTGACGCATCATGTGGTAGTGTCCAATCAGTCTGACTTGCGGCTTGGACAAGTCCGTTGAAGTCCGTCTTCCAATAGTTGAATGTCGGCTTCTGTTGATTGTAATATGGTAACGACAGTTCTAAGCTTTCTACAATAGAGCAGTGGTCACTGTTCGCCAGATGTTCGATGACTCTGATCTCTTTTAGCTTCTGCTCGCAGCTCGTAAACATTAGGTCCAGACAAGATGCCGAGTACGGAGTTACGCGCGTCGGTTGGATGACATGTTGCGTTGCCCCAATTTCAATAGTCATTTTAGCGAATTGAGCCTCAACGTTGCCATGACCGGGAAGAAGTCGAACATCTGGCCAAATTATCTTAGGTAAATTTAGATCCCCCATCAGTAAGAACTGAGGGCGGCTCATGTGCTTCTGTACATGTGGTATCCAATCGCAGCAACGGTTTAATGGGCTCCGGTAGATAACCCCCACAATTAGTTCTGCGCGCCTGAGACGGATTGTGCACCACAATTGCTCGCATAAACTATCCTCGCTCCGATAGGTACTGATAAGTTTGCCAGATAGTGACGATTTTATGTACAACAGAACACCACCGTGAGCCTTTGAGTTTCGGTCACATCGGAAACAAGAGTATCCTGACAACACGACTTCTTGGGGTATGATGTCGGAGTTCAAACATGTCTCAGCAAGTCCTAAAATGTCCGGCCGCTCCGAGACAGCGAAGCGGCACAGTTCGTCACGTTTGTTCATTAGGCTGCACACGTTGGCGAATGTGACACGGAGGTCCTGGGAGGTACTGCGGGACGTGCCTGGAGGTTGAGCAACCGATTGATACGGGTTCGTACCCCCTTCTTGATCACCCGAAAATTTACAACTTGTAAGTCAGTCTCACCTTCCTCTGTACGGCGTTTGAGGTCAATGACCGCAGTCTTCAAACGATCCCTGTCCTCGGGTTCCAAATCTCGGCGGATGTGAACTTTTATGCCTTTCAGCCTTGACAGACGAGACAGTATGAGCTGCGGCATATTAGGATTTGCAAAGGTGATCCTCAGAGGTCGACATGACTGGTTAGTTTTCTGGCCAAGTCGGATTACTTGTTTAATCGTCACACTGTCCTCGCCCACATCCAAGAGTCTATCGATGAGCCCCTGGAGGAACTCAACATCGTGATCATAACGTACCTGAGGGTTTTCATCTTTTGACTCCGGTACGTGAAAGACCATGAGATTATGACGCCTCAGCGAAATCAGTGATGAACCTGTGGGAGCAGAACTAGAGGCGCTTAACTGATTGGGTAGTTGTTTATCAGCAGGTGACGTCTGAACTCGATTACGTGGGCCCTTGCGTTTCTGAGTGGTCCATGGATCCTCGGTGTTCAGCAGTTCACAGACAGGCTCTGAGAAATTCACGGACCGATCAGTGAAGCGGCATTTCGTAGCTTCTGAGTCTGAGTCTTCCATCGGTGGGAAACATTGAACCTGGGGTTCGGCCGGGGTCGAAGACGCTGGTGGTGGTGCAGATCGCGGAGTGACAATAGAAGGCGAGGTGACAGAGGTACTTTCACGAGGGCGTTTGATCCCACGTGGTGAACGGTTTGTTCCTATCTGAAAGAGAGATTTTTCCGTAGTTGTTTGCGGTCGCTGCGTATTCTGATGTCTTGTACCGCGACATTTATCACATATAACTTGAAAAAACCGATGTCGGATGTCGAGCGATTTTCGAAACACGTCAACGGATAAGCCAATGCACGAAATATGGAACAAAACATCACAGCTGTAGCATCGAAGTGCATGAGCCTTATTTCCCACAACTTTCGAACACGAACCACAAGTAGCTTGAGACGGCATCACAAGCTAGAGCAAATCTAAGATGGCGGACAGAGATGGTAGTATGGCAAATCAGTGAGATCTCCGGAATTAGCCAAAGAATAGCTCCCAAATTTGCACCGCTCGGAAAATACGCCAAAAGAAGAATAATGGTGCACAATTCACACAGATAAAACGCTTCAAACACAGTAATCTGAGGTAAAAGTAGTGTCCAGCACATGTTGATCCAAAAATCCGCGGCGTCCGTGGGTACCCGTACCCGTACAAGCTACAACAAGGACATGTCGTTCACGACATGAAAAGTAAGCACTGTAAGAGGAGTGGAAAGGGACAGAAAGTAAAAGTGAACCTTGCTCTGTAGCTGATAATAGACTTAAAACGCTGGTAGTCAGCAATAATTGGCCTTCAATCGCGTTGGTGGGATCACTGGAAGTAACGATATGTCACGCGACAACAGTGTAAGTAGCAAGCGATTCCGGAGTCAAAATGCACGTGCGTGCACACACACAGTGGGAGAGCTCCTAAAGCCATGGGGGTTAGTGCAAGCAACTTCCGTAAAAAGCAATGAATGAATATCGTCCTGAATTCGCCGTCAACTCCATCCATGAGTGTGAAGTAGAGGAAGAAACAGTGCTTTACCGTTCGACAAAAAATTGCCGTAAGTTCTCGATGCGTGCACCATCGCACCGAGCAACAAAATTCGTTGCGGCTCGAATTTTATTCCTGCCTGTGAAATTCTTTCCCTTGAACCCTAGTTTTGCTGCATCCGCGGTGGGAACACAGCGTGAGCAATGAGTGTTCGGTGTAGCGTAGTTAGTACAAGTAGAGTGAGTGAAGCGCTCAATGCCATTATTCCACGCACCAGACTCCGATGGCAGGGCTGGGTGTTAGGCATTCAAGCACACCGATTCCCACGACGTCCAATGTTTGCCTGATCGGGATGTGGATGGAACAAGAGGGATGAATTCCCACAGTTCGAAGTTGACGTCTGTTAGTGTCTCGACTGCCGGGATGGATTCCTAAGGATGGTGAACACGTCTGGTTGGATACACCTGTTGACATGGCGAAGAGCCGACCCCAATGGTACTCGCTTGGTTAGTTTATTTGTCGCACCGTCTCCCGCACATCTTCCACTAACCCCGTTCTCACGCATGATGCGTAATATGAGCATCATACTACTTTTTAGTTTATATATACATGATGATTTGGCGGCGTCCGTATCCGGATTTGCCTGTCACTGTGACGTCCATGGGGACAGTCACAGGACGCCTGCGCCTACATAGGTAGGTAGATATAATATTCCGCGGCATATTGACTGAGATGTGTTTCTCCCCTTAAACAAACGTGTAATGAAGACAATGACTTTTGGTTAAGCGAGTTTCAGTGCCAACGGAACAGTATAACAGTGATATAAAGGTCACTAATGTATTTTCGCCATCGTATCATCGATAATGCACCATCTAGTGGGATACAGAGGGGCGTTTGCTTTACCATCCATTAGAATGAGAAGGAAAGTGCAGTCCCATGCCCAAGCCGACCGCTTAAATAACCATTTAATGGAACAGCCGATATGCACCAAGTTGAGAATAGTGCCGCTTCGCACGAGCATCGGTGTATGCGCACCACAGTTATCAGTATGTGTGGGCCAACCAAGTGAGATTCCTAGTTATGCTTCGTGATGTAATCTGTATAAAAGAGCGACTGACAGATGCACGGACAATGCACGCCTTATTCTACTCTCTCGGTTCGACAATTGGTATATCAGTGGATGGCGGTGCAATGCAAGCCACCACGAACGCGTCCTGTGGTTCTGAGCGGCCACAGTGACATGTAAATCGGCAAATGAATCCAATCTCCAGTGCCCACTCTTATACGCCGTCATACAGTCAGCGAATCAAGTGAACCAAACTAGAGGTAGGGAACTCACTGTGTACACCGAATTTCCCAAAACCAAAAGGCTGCTCGATTGGCCATTGGAATCGACAACATCTGGAAAGTGACAAGGAATCAAAATTCATCGAACACGCTATGGACGAGCATGGAAATGTTTATAATATTATATATTACATATATTATATATCTGTAATATATATTATACAATATAACATATAAATTACACAATAAACACAGAACCATGGAGGAGCGAAGTAACAGTGCACGGAAAACGACTGTATCTGTGATGTCAGAAAGTCATTTCACAGAAATCGGATCAAAGAAAGCGACGCCTTGTGGTGTTGTCACTGGCAAACAAAATCTGTGGAGTGTTGACCTACCTCACTCACTGTACGGACAGAAGCCCAAGCCTTGTGATTAAAATCAGTAGTCGTCAACCAATCACAATCATCGTCGGTAGTTAAGGTTGCTGATGTGGCTCAGCTGCTGATCCAACCACTTAGGTAACGAGTCGCATCGTCTGTGCGGCGCGTAGTAGGATGTGAAAATGATCGGATGACTTGCTGACGACTGTGACCGGTTCATTCGATTACATAATCTCAAGGAGCTTGAAGTGTGCGTGAGTTTCAGTAAGCACAGTCAGCTTAATGTGACGGCTGGCTGATTGAGAAGCTCAATTAAGGTTCACCAGCGATGGTTGAAGCCGACGGTACTGGATGAAGATGAGGCAGGGCTATGTAGAGTGGGATACTTGATTACTGTGAGCAAGAGTCTCGAAGTAATGGAGGATGGATATTTTAGTTGGGACGTCAATGTTCTGCATCATTCTTTGGCTGCTGCTTTCCAGAAAATGTAGCAGATGAACCTTTTCCTTCTATGTCAACTCGTTGGGGTCTTTCCTTTGGGCCATAATGCTACCATACGTGTTCCAGTCGACCCCACATTGTTCAAAGCACGCAATGGATCCAAGACCTAGGGTGCTATTTACAGAGTATTGATTACTTAAAGTAACAAAGCTTAATTCTTTGTGCGAGATGGGCACTCAATGATCAGTGTGGATGTAAACATCAATTTTGCCACAATCCAAGAGGTTAACGAACGGGTGCTGAGTAGGTTTAGCTTAGAACCGGTTAATCGAGGAACATTTATTTTCGGCAAAGGCATGTATGGTTCGAGGAATGAGCAGTATAGACATTTGCCAAGGTGAGACGAATGCCCCGACATAACATTAAGCAAATGGCTTAATAAACGGTAGGGGAACTCAGTCAATGACTGCATGCCCATTACGTGTCGGTGTTGTTATAGTGATTGTGTTTGATAGACTGCACCTCACATATAAACATCATACACCCGTATGGTGGAAATGCACAGATCGGAAATATCCGAGGTCGAGAGTCCAAATAACAACAGGTGTTTTGCTGACGCGGGACGGATATATCCTTTATTGTTTAAGATGAGCAGATAATGTGCAATAGAGGAGATTGCCGGAGTGCAGTTTGTGCGTAGTTCCTGATGGCCGCTACGTGATGACCGACACCGTATTTATCAGTTTTGTTTTGGGAAGATTGGGTCATCCGGTGTGCGTCACAGATAGCAATATCCATCACATAGATAGTAGTGTCCCAGTAGATGAATAGATTTGGCTTGATGTAAGTCGCTGGCCTAAGGATGCGTGGTTCTGGTATTACTGCAGCTCCCCGACGGGACAGAATCGCTGTAAGTTGGTTGGCAATGTCGTTATGCCGTTTTGCAGCATGCGTCATGTGTTACGGTTCAAGATTGGAACACGTGAGAGATTGATTCGCGTTGCCCACATGCACCGCAGCAAATGAGATCGGATAGAGAACGCGGTGGTCTGTCTCTGGTGCGTCTGACTTTTGTAGGAAGGAGGCTTGGCGTAATTGAGTTGCCCTAATAAATAGGCGCGGGAAGACGCGTGCAGGTTGTCGGAACCATCGATGAGCAATTGGATGCGTGGAAGCTTGACGTAGAGGGGATACGTCAAGGGTAGTAAGTAACTGAGTCCTCTATGCCCCCTCTACAGACCTTATCAGACAGTTTGCCTACCTACGATGTGTGGCGGATTACCTAGCCGATATATCGCAAAGGCAGATGGGTCATGAATGGCCCAGCTCAAGATGGAATTAGGGTTGGAAAGGTACCGCGCCAATTTATCTTTCCGAAGTAATGGCAACATGATTGAGAAACTTAAAATGTCTAAACCGTGGTCAATGATGGATGCATGAAAAAAGCAACGGCTGTATCCTTGGGTAATCTTAACCATTTGCGAACGTTGGCCCTGATTAATTTGTTCATCGTTTTGAGTGTGCATCGATGTATTACTGCCAGCGAGAGCTTGTGGATGTGTCGTAGGAAAAAAGATGCTGAGAATTTCGATGCGTTGGTGTGGTTTTAATGGTGCTTGCGAAGTTTCCTGGAGTTGCTGACGTAGCTCATCGAGGGAGTGAGGCGGTAGCTTGCCGTGCTAGTTAAGAGGTAAAGCTAGGAAGTTAAGTGAATCCGTCGGTTGGACTGGTGGAAGTTTAATCGATCCGACTTGAAGGTCATAAGTGTCCAGTAGCGCTTTCTGCCTGGATCTGTCGATGACGATGTTTTATGGAAAGGCCAATAAGCTGGAGGTCATCGCTAAAAGTTAGGAGTCATTCCTGTAGTGCATCTTTGTTTTGCGCTACGATGATCACGTCGTCCGCGTATGCAATATAATCAACCGGGCCTGCGGGACACATCCAACGACAGGAGGCTGGCTTTGGTAATGATTTGTGAAGCGTCATGATGCAAAGTAGGGGGTGAAAGTGGGTCTCCTTGTCAAACGCTTCGCTCCGAATGAATTCCCACCTTTCGGAACGTTGAGATCGACGAAGAACAGTAGGAAAGCAGGTAATCAATAAAAAGTTAGGGGCCCAAAAGAAGATGCAGCTCCAATTGGGGTAATGGAAGATGGAACCAAAGGCCTTTGAAATGCCCAGAGGCGAAAGAGAGGGGGAGCAGTGGGAGTGAGAGGAGCGAAGCACGGAATGAAGGATAGATGGGGCCTCAAAACATGAGTCTTTTTTGAGAAAAGCTAATTGCAGGCGGTCAGCTAGAAAGGATGAAATC